CATTGAGTCTGTTCTGACTCATAGTGACCTTGTGTAGGGTTTCCAAGGAGTATCTGATGGGTTTGAACCATGGTTCAAACTGATCTTTTGGTCTAGGGCATTATCCTGCAGCACCACATCAGGAATCCTAACGACAGTTTCTGTATCTTCACAGGTACACAAGGTCGCATCTTTCTCCTGGGGAGTGGCTGGTGGATTCGAACTGATGACCTTGTAGTTAGTAGCGCACTGCATATCCCACTCTGCCACTAAGACTCCTTAGAGGAAAACATAATAGCTCAAATAACAGGTCCAGTTGCCAAGTTCTGAATTTTTACTAAGTACCAGGACTCCTGCTATGATGCTATGGAACAGCACTAGACTGTGAATCACAAGGTCAGCAGTTCAAACCTACCAGCTGCTCCTTGGAAACCCTAAACAGGGTCTTTATGAGTTGGAACCGACTCAACAGCACTTAAAAACCAGGAACTTATCCCATCCATTTTTATAGTAAGTCCCAGGATACATATTGTTTTCATTTTATATATCAGAAAATGGTTTAGAATGATTAAGTGGCTCATTTAAATTCATACAATAAAACTATAATATATGACTGGTTTACAAAGTTTCAAGAGGGAGTTTAGTTTAAGAGTGTGTGGGGGAAGATAGAGTCCCCACTGAGTAGTTTTCATCTTGTCTAGGTGGGTCTGGTAAAAAGAGATGAGGATAAGATTTGTATGAATCAATAATGAGTAATTGTTACCATGACTAATTGCTACTGTCACAATTGTAAAGGTAGAAGTTTTGTAACAAAAATGGGGGAGTAGTTAATCTTACAGTACAGTAACAGAGGACCCTAGGACAATCAACGGAGAAGAGCACAAGCGGAATATGGTACCTTATTCAGAGAAGCAGCGACACCAGTGATGGAGGCAGAGATGTGGACATGGAGAGAAGGAGCAGCTGAGGACTCTAGAGACATGAAAAGAGATGGATTGAGAGCTCGGAGACAGGAGGCAGACTTGCAGAATGTGCCCTTTGGTGGTTTAAATTATTATATATGCCTGAGTGTTTTTTTTTTAAAAAAAGCTAAAATGAATGGAAGTACTGTTAACTGATGGTACATGGAGGGGATTATAATCATTGTAATGAAACAAAGTATATGACTTGTTGAATGTAAAACTGATGATCTGCCCTGTAAACTTTCACCCAATTCACAAGAAAAACTTTAAAAAAACAAAGAAAAAACTGTGATATAAACCCAGGTTTATGTAATCCCTACATCTATGCTTGTTGTTATTGTTAAGTGCCATCAAGTCAGTTCTTACTCACAGCGACCCTGTATACGGTTTCTGAGGAACAGCTCGTGGGTTTGAACTGCTGATCTTGTGGTTTGCGGTCCAGTGCTGATCCTACAGTACCACACCAGGAGTCCACTTGGACAATTTCAATTTGTTGTCAATATAAATAGTGAAATGAACAAGAAATGGCTAGGGAGAATTCTATACTTGTATAGAAATGAAGGAAATTTTCTGATCACTTGCTCTGTCAGGTAATGTTCATAGTTTTTTTTTCCTCAATGATTATTGGGGGCATGATCCCACAGCTGGAACCAGGCCTCAAACCCAAATCTGAACGACTCCCGTCTTTTTTCCATAGTTTTATGCTACCTCTCAGGACAATGATGGAGCGAGAGTGAAGTGAGACTGAGAGGCAGTGACCAAGACATCTCTTCCCTGAATAGGATCAATGCAGTCCAGGTGTGGCGCTCTAGGACAAGCGCCGGACTGCTAATCACAAGGTTCAAACCCACCAGTAGCTTCTAGGAAACCCTATACAGAGTTGCTATGAATTAGAAGTGCCTGGATATCACCTAACAACAACACTGTTGTACAGATAACAAGCATCATTGCCCTGAATGTTTCCAAACAGTTAATCTAACTGTGCAGTGTTTTAGAATGAGCTAATCTACCAGGAGTCCTGGTGTGGCCTGGTGGGTTAATGCGTTGGACTATAAAGTTGGTTTAAACCACAAGGTCGGCGGTTCAAGCTCACCAGATGCTCTTCAGAAACCCCTATACATGGTTGCTATAGGTCAGAACTTGATGGCACTTAACAACAACAATCCTTTCATAGAATTAATTCTTCTTAATCACTTGAGGCAACAGTTAACTTTTAACTGTCATAAAGTCAAGTGAGGCTGTAATCAGAAAAAAAAAGTAAATTATAGATTAGTTAGCAATCATAATGGTTAAAGCCTACCTGCAGAAACCTGGGGAGAAGGTGGCTTGATTCAATGCCAACGTATATGTGCAACAATTCCAGGAGGGAAATGGACTGGCAAAGCCGCATCACAAGTCCAATAGCATAAAAAGTGTCAACCAGGGAATCTATGCCCAGCGAAAAGACAGATGTAGTAAGTAAAAGACCAGTAGAAAATGAGATCACAGCTCAAGTTTACGCAGCACTTTGCAATAAAACTGAAGTTCTTTACTTCCTTTTTCATTGAACACGTCAGAAATTCTCCAAACAAACGACTAAATTAAGAATACAATGCAATCAAGGAATGCATTTCATACTGTAGTACATTTTAATCACTCCTCTTCCAAAAAAAAAAAAAAAAGCAAAAAGTTGGGAAAGACAGCTTCATGGCCAAAACTATAGCACTGATACTCCACATATGAAATTATAAAAAATATCCTGCATTAAAAAGTAGCCAGGTAAACTCTAGATCACGTTGAGGCTGGATGTGAGCTTATTAAAGCATAGTCGTGGCACTACTGGCTAAAGGGAGAAGAACATTAAAGACAGTTTAGGGAAATGACAGTTAACAGTGCTGTGATAAATAACAATTAACATCTTCTGTGTGTATGTACCATTTGTGTTCTACGCATACTTGGTTAATCATTTAACTTTTTGTTTGTTTTAAACACTACAATTTGGGCCTCTGATCAGTCCTTTGGGAGTTTGCATTGCAGGGGGCCTAAATTGAAATACTCTATTTAGACAGAGCTTTAAATGGAAGGACACAGTTGTTTTTGGAAACTTTCAAATGAAATCCTACCTTTTTAGGGAGGACTCTGCATGAAGTCTTACTGCCTGGCAAACATTCACATGATATTAACTGATTGAGGAATTCTCTTCTCAATAGTTGTATGAGGCAACATCCCATTTCACAGAGAATATCTGTGGCACAGAAAGACCACTGGCCTGTCTTTGCTAAACATGGAATTATCAATGACACAGCTCTGCGAGGTAGCACGTGTTATTAGTTCACATTATTAGACTGTTGCTCAGCTACTTGTGTGTTTTATTTTTTATACAGAATTGTACTTCAGGTGCCTTTTACGAGTTGTTTCTTTAATCACAAATAGATTATATCGTTATAATGATATTTACATACATAGCCTATGTAATGTACACTATATAATTAAAACGATGATAGCAGTGTCATGAATAAATACACTGATGACTAAGGTAACTTTTCCCACTGGAAAGGCCACAGTGTCCTGGGCAAAGTTAGCATCACGAAGCATCGAGGCAGCATGTAAGAGTTTGTGGTTTGTGACTCGTGTTGCAAATGGCCTATAATCTCCCCACACAGCTGTAACCGGTCTACTTCCAAAGTCCAGAAGGGATGATTTTTCTTTTTAAAAAAACATAAAGGAAGTTTTCCCATTTTGTTTTCCAGCCTGCTTAAAGACACCAATGCTGAATGCTCCTATTTGAAATTCAAGCTTTAGGTTGTATCTTTGGAGGCTCTTTACAAATACAAAAATGTGTCTATAGATTTTCAGTAACATAAAATTGTTTATGGGATTACAGAAGTAGGTTACTTTCTTTAAGGCCCAGAAGTCAGAATTGATGAGTGCAGCATTACTTTGCCCAGAAATATTTGACTCGTTTGTTTTTAGCTGAAAACAGCAGTTACTCAAATTGCCAAGTCATCCAACAGTTGAAACTGTGATGATACTTATTCATGTGGGTGGTGGTTAGGAAAGTGTTATTTTGACATAATTTACTGATTCATTTTTTTAAAACTGAAATGCTATCTAAAAACCAATGTCTTTACTTTTTAGGAAACTGGAGGAAGTTTATGACTTAACAATTATTGGCCATAGTAATATATTAATAAAGATATCATCTTGAGAACTAAGATGTGCCTGACCCAAGCCAGGGTATTTTCAATGGCCTCAATGCATGGAAAAGCTGGACAATGAATTAGGAAGACTGAAGAAGAATTAATGTCTTTGAATTATGGTACTGGTAAAGAATATTGAATATGCCATGGACTATCAGAAGAATAAACAAACTTATCTTAGATGTATAGTTAGAATGCTCCTTAGAAGGGAAGATGGCAAGTATTTGGACATGTTATCAGGAGAGACCAGTCCCTGGGGAAGGACACCAGGCTCAGTAGATGGTCAGCAAAAAACAAAACGATCCTCAACAAAATGGATAGACACCAGGTAGACAACAGTGTGCTCAAACATAGGAAAGATGGTGACGATGGGACAAGCAGTACTTTATTCTGTTTTAAACAGGGTCACGATGATTGGGAATTGACTCCATGGCATCTAGCAAGCGTTAATGTATAAGTACTGATACATTAACGCCCATGGCTAAGCCTATATAGGTGATTAGTCACTTCCAAAGTGGATCATTTTCTTAACAGTACAATACTTCTTCAGTGGAGCAAATAAGATGCCTGGGTAAAGTAAACTCTGTCATTTAGCTAATAGTGCTCTCCAAACGACCTGAAACCTGGAGAATAAAAGATCTGGGGTGAATTTAGCTAATTCCCAATTTCTTTCTACACAGTGTTATTTATGGTGGTTGTGTGCCATGGAATCAGTTTCGATTCATAGGCTTTCTGAGGCTGTAAGTCTTTACAGGAGCAGAAAGCCTCATCTTTCTCTTGCAGAGCGGCTGGTAGTTTCAAACTGCTGACCTTGAGGTTAGCAGCCTGACTCATAACCACTATGCTATATGGCGCTGTGGGTTAATGCGCCAGACTGCAAAGCTGTTTGAACTACAAGGTCGGCGGTTCAAACTCACCAGCTGCTACTTGGAAGCCCTATACAGGGTCGCTATGAGTCAGAAGCTACTCAACGGCACTCAACAACAACCAGTTTATAGATTTCTTTAAAACACATACATCTGATAAAGTTTATTGCAGTATCAAAAAGGAACAGTGAAATAGTACCATACAACAAAGGTTATGCATACATTTTCAAGATAAATTGCCTAGTTAGGGAGAAGCCAAATCTCTTTCCTTTACCCTATTTGCTCTCAATAAATATAGTTAGGGAAAAATGTGAATTTTAGAGGAGTGAAGAATATTGGATGAAGTCCATAGAAATTAAACATAAAGTTGATATAAGTAGGACTAAGTGAAAATAAAGATTAAAATGTCAAAACATAAAATTGTTTTGCAGTTTTACCTTTTCCAAATGAAAAGAATCTGGCTGTCATATTCGTAAAGATCCATGAGTGGCCACAGAACTGGATTAAATAGTAGATGAAAAGATAGACATTCTTCCTATACCTACAAATACAAGAAAACACCATTAAACACTTCCTTGGTAATGACCCTTTGCACATGATGTTGTTAAGTGCCACTGAGTTGGTTCTAAGTCACAGCAACCCGGTATAGAGTTTTCAAGGAGCAGCTATTGGGTTTGAACGCAAACCGTGTGGCTCAAACTGACTTTACAGTCTAGCACATTATTCTGCAGCACCGCACCAGGACTCCTCGATAATGGAATTTTGTTGTTGTTAGGTGTCATCAAGTCAGTACCGACTCATAGCGACCCTATGCAAAATAGAACGAAACACTGCCGGATCCTGGGCCAACCTCACAATTGTTGACATGCTTGAGCCCATTGATGCTGCCACTTTGCCAATCCATCTCGCTGGGTGTCTTCCCCTTTTTCTCTGACCCTCCACCTTACCAAATATGATATCCTTCTCCAGCAATTGGTCCCTCCTGACAATATGTAAGACAATATGAGAGACAAAGTTTGGCCATTTTGGCCTCCAAGGAGCACTCTGGCTGCACTTCTTCCAACACAAATCTGTTGGTTCTTTTGGCAGTCCCTGGCACTTTCATTATTCTCCTCCAGCATCATAACTCAAAGACATCAATTCTTCTATGATCTTCCTTATTCACTGTCCAGATTTCTCATGCATATGAGGTTATTGAAAATACCAGGGCTTGGGTCAGGCACACCTTAGTCCTCAAGCTAACATCTTTGCTCTTCAATACTTTAAAAAGGTCTTGTGCAGCAGATTTGCCTAATGCAATACATCGCTTGATTTCTTGACTGCTGCTTATGTGAGTGTTGATAGTTGATCCAAGAATGAAGTCCTTGACAACTTCAATCCTTTCTCGGTTGATAAGAATGTTGTTTATTGGTCCAGTGGTGAGGATTTTTGTTTTCTTTACATTGAGATGCAATCTATACTGAAGGCTGTGCTCTTTGATCTTCATCAGTAAATGTTTTAAATCCTCTTCACTTTCAGCAAGCAAGGTTGTATCATCTGCATATCCCAGGTTGTTGATGAGTCTTCCTCCAATCCTGATGCCATGTTTTTCTTCATATAACCCAGCTTCTCAGATTATTTGCTCAGCATGCAGGTTGAATTAGTATGGTGAAAGAATACAACCTTGTCACACACTTTTCTTACTTTGAAACCATTCAGTGTTCCCATGTTCTGTTTGAACAACTGCCTCTTGGTCCATGTACAGATTCCTCATGAGCACAATTAAGTGTTCTGGAATACTCATACTTTGCAATGTCGTCCATAGCTTGTCATGATCCACACAATCGAAAGTTAAGTAGCTAGTTAAATATCCAGAGCTCTGGTAGCGTAGTGGTTACGAACCGGGCTGTGAACCTTAAGGTCAGCGGTTCGAAACTACCAGCCGCTCCACGGGAGAAAGATGAGGCTTTCTACTCCCGTAAGGATTTACACCCTCGGAAACCCTGTACAGGGTCGCTATGGGTCGGAACCGACTCAACGGCACTTAACAACAACAACAACAACATTATGCGCTATGGAGTCCTGGTGTGCACACCAGTCCTGGTGTGGCGCTGTAGCATAAGTGTAGAACTGCAAGTTTGGTTGGAACCACAAGGTTGGCGGTTCAAACTCACCAACCACTTCTCAAAAACCATATACAGGGTTGCTATGAGTCGGAACCACTTATAAAAACACTTAACAACAGCATTCCATTATCTAGGGGCCCTGGTGGCACAGTGGTTTCCTGCTCAGCTGTTACAGGTCTACAGTTTGTGCCCATCAGCAATTCCATGGGTGAAGATGTGACAACCTGTTTCCATAAAGACAGTTGTTATAGTTGTGTTCCATCGAATTGATTCCAACTCATGATGACCCTGTATAATTTCTGAGAGTGCCTGGTAGATTTAAACTGCAAAAATAACCTTGAAAACCCTATACAGGGTCACTATGCATTGGAACCAACCCAGTGGCACTTAATAACAACATGGTACATAGTATCTGCTAATGTGAGTATCTACCTTTTGCTAAAGCCAAATATGGTTCTATTTCAAAACCAATTTCCATCTTTGATGAAGTTCCAACCTTGCTATTCACCAATGGGTAACAAAGCAACTATTGCACAGATGACTTTGGATATTTTATTGTTTCTGTTATGTGCCGTGGAGTCAGATCTGACTCATAGTGACCCTGTACAGGGTTTCTGAGGCTGTAAATCTTTACGGGAGCAGAAAGCCTCATCTTTCTCCCGTGGAACAGCTGGTAGTTTCGAACTGCTGACCTTGCCATTCGCAGCCCGATTTGTAACCACTACGCTACCAGAGCTCCTTTTAGGGGGGAAAAATGACATGGAAGAAGAGGAGTTGATGTAGTCAGTATACAAGAGGGCTTCAAAAACAGAATGGAAAGAGAACTGAGTATGTTCCAGAAGCTCAGCCTTCTAAGTGCAGGAGAACCTGAGAGAGAACCAGTTTGTAGTAACATGAGGGAGTAGTAATGGCAGCAATACAAAAACGCGGGTAATTGAACATGTGGACATACCTGACTTTTGAATGTATGATGCCATTATGGTCATTATCTTGTTCCTGCCTCCTAGGACATTCTGAAGGCAGATAGAAGGTTACCTTAGTTAGGCACACATGGAAAGCAGTTTCCTTGCTCAGAAGGCCAGAAAGGGGAAGTCAAGCTGGGTTTAAAAATGACTAAGAAAAGATTGGCAGATGCCCTGCTGAGAGAGTTAAAGCATTCCTTGAGTGCATGTTGTTCGGTGCCACTCAGTCAGTTTCCGCACATAATGACCCTGTACAGGGTTTCCTTAGAGAGGTTGCTGGGTTTGAACCACAGGTCTTGTGCTTAGCAGTCCAGTGCTTATCCTATGGAGTCCTGGTATGGTGCTGTGGGTTAACGCGCTATACTGCAAAGTAGGTTTGAACCTCAAGGTCGGTGGTTCAACCTCACCAGAGGCTCTTCAGATGCCCTTACGCAGTGTCGCTATGAGTCAACCAACTCGAGACGGCAATTAACAACAAGTTTATCCTACAGCGCCACACCAGGATTCCACATATTCAAAAAGGTGCCAATACAGGCAAGTCAGCGGGAGAAACAGGGCAAATCAGCAGGGAAGAGGTGTCTTGTGGTTGGATGGTTTTGCTCAGCATCTTACTAGATGTTAAGACCTACTAAGTTGTGGGGGAGGATCAGAATCAGAAGATTTCCCAGACCCATTGAGCGCTGGAGCTGGGTCCTGTAATCTTCATGTCCGACAGGAATTTCTGGAGCAGGTAGACCTAAAAGCCCCCTGCAACACGGATGGACTCCCAGAGGTGTGGTGGAGGGGGAGCGGGCATGGGGACTGGTAGAGGGCGCCCAAGGGGGAAGGGGGAGGTCATGTAGCGTGCCCTTTCCGTTGTTTCCTCATCTATAAAATGGGGGAAACGAGTGACTTCCTCCTAGAGTTGTGGAGTTAAATTAGCTGATCTCTGTCAAGCGCTCAAGGGCGTGGGGGTGCAGGGGAGCGCGTGGCACTGAGCCAGAGCCAGCCTGCAAATGGGGACAGCCCCCGCCCCAGGGTGTCCTCCGCCCCCTCTCCCCGGCCTTGGCCAGGCGCCCTACCTGGACTGCAGCCAGGCCGGAGACAGCGCCATGGCCCCCAGGGCCACCACCGCGGACTCTTCCACGCTGTCCGGGAACTAGCGCGCGGGAGTCGGGAGGGGACCCCTGCGACCCCGCCCAGCCGTCCGCTCGCTCGTCCGTCAGCCTGCGCGCGCGCGGGGTCAGGGCGCAAGCAGAGCGCTCAGCTGCAGGGCGGGGCCTTTAGTCACTCGGCCAGTTACCAACAAGAAAAAAAATTACCCCAGATCTTGTCTTGTGCACGTTCCGGGAAAGCCGCCCGCGACCCCGCGGGGTGACTAACACAGGTTACAGTGACGCCTAATCTTATGCTGCGACGCAAAGCCAGAAACGCATCTATCTATCTGTGCAGACTCACAGCTCTGCAGAGCGACTAAGGGAATTTAGGAATTCACTGAAACCCATCCTAGGGCTTATGGCACGTGAGGACCCCAAAGTGGGCGTCTGTCTTATTACCCTCCCTGTGAGTCAGGTTCAGAGTTACCTTCTTTTTGGCCAAGAGGGCCAGGGGTCTCTGCCCTCAGATCTTTTGGCCAAGAGGGCCAGGGGTCTCTGCCCTCAGATCTTCCCCGAAACCTCCCTGGTGCGTCTAAATCCTTTTATTACCGCAGAGCTCATTTCCCTGAACTAACCTTTTCCTCACCACTCAGGCCTCTGGCACCGCCTGTCTCAGTACAGTCAGGCGGCCTGCCTTTTATGTTGCGCCAAGATCCACACTGACCTCAAGGTCGGCGGTTCAGGCTCACCAACCACTCCTTGGAAACCCTATATAGGGTCACTATGAGTCGGGACTGACTCGACGGCACATAACAAGATCCAGACCAGCTTCCAACTTCTCTGCTTTGTAAGGAGCACAAGCCCCTCAAAATAAGAAGCACATGTAAGCAAGAAAAATGAAGAAACAGCCGAAGAAGCACTTGCAGATAAGTGAGTCAACACCACTGAGTTGGTAGGTATTATTCCCATTTTACTAAAAGGGAAGTTGAGGCTTTAAGAAATTATAAGTCACAGGTCACACAACCGATAAATGGCAGTGTTAGAACGTCAAGGCCAGTGTTGGTTTCCCATTAGATCGTAGCTTCCTTCCTCCTCACAATTACTTCCTCACCATCTCCACTTCCAAACTTCACATTTCTATCTACACTCACATCCCCACCTCTTGTCTGTCAGTTTGTCACACTGTAGTGGGCTTGCATGTCGCTGTGATTCTGGAAGCTAAGCCACTGGTATTTTACATATCAGCAGCCACCCATAGTGGACAAGTTTCAGATGAGCTTCCGGACGAAGTCGTACTACTTCCGAATACTTAGTTATGAAAACTTTATGAATAGCAATGGAACATTGTCAGATAGCAATAGAATATTGAATACTGAAACATGATGAAAAGTACCGGAATATTGTCAGATACAGTGCCAGAAGATGAGCCCCTCAGGTTGGAAGGCACTCAAAATGCGACTGGGGAAGAGCTGCCTCCTCAAAGCAGAGTTGACCATGATGATGTGAATGGAGTAAAGCCTTCGAGACCTCAATTTGCTGATGGGGCACAACTCAAATGAAGCGAAACAGCTGTAGACATCTATCAATAATTGGAACATGGAATGTATAAATTTTAAATCTAGAAAAATTGGAAATTGTCAAAAATGAAAAGGAACCCATAAACATCGATATCCTAGGTGTTAGTGAGCTGAACTGGACTGGTATTGGCCATTTTGAATCTGACAATCACATGGTTTATTTGCTATGTAGGGAATGATAAGTTGAAGAGAAATGGTGGCACATTCATCATCAAAAAGCACATAGCAATCATGTTGTTGTTGTTATTGTTAAGTGCCTTCGAGTCGGAGCCGACCCATAGCGACCCTGTACAGGGTTTCCGAGGGTGTAAATCCTTACGGGAGTAGAAAGCCTCATCTTTTTCCCGCAGAGCGGCTGGTAGTTTCGAACCACTGACCTTAAGCTTCGCAGCCCGATTCGTAACCACTACGCTACCAGAGCACCCTATAGCAATCATAATAATTCATAATAAAACTTAAAAAAAAGCAGATGATACAACCTTGCCTTCTGAAAGTGAAGAGGACTTAAAATACCTATTTATGCTTACTTATGAAGATCAAAGACCACAACCTTCACTATGGGTTGTGCCCCAATGTAGATGAAACAAAAATCCTCACTATTAGACCAATAAATACCACCAAGATAAATGGAAAATAGATTTTTTTAAAAAAAGAGCACATATCAAGATCTGTCCTGAAGTACAATGCTGTCTGTGATAGAATAATATCCATAAGTCTACAAGGAAGACCATTTAATACCACTGTTATTCAAATTTACACACCAAACACTAGAGCTAGTGACAATGAAATTGAAGAATTCTACTAATTACTTCAGTCTGAAATTGTTGAAACATGCAATCAAGATGTATTGATAATTACTGGCAGATAATTAAAAAAACACTACTACAAGAAACCAAAAGAGACTTACAAAAATGAAAGGATATATCATGCTCCTGGATAGGAAAACTTAACAGCATGAAAACGTTAATACTACCCAAAGCAATCTATACATATAACGCAATCCCAAACCAAATTCCAACAACATTCTTTAAAGAGATAGAAAAAAAATCACAAACTTTATACAGAAAGGAAAGAGACCCAAGATAAGCAAAGCACTGCTTAAAAAAAGAACGAAGTTGGAAGTCTCTCACTCCCTGATTTCAAATTTACTACATGACTACAGTGGTCAAAACAGCCTGGTATTGGTACAGTGAAAGATACATAGATCAACAGAACAGAATTGAGAATCCAGATATTAACCCATCCACATATAGCCAACTGATCTTTGACAAAGGGCCAAAGTACATTAAATGGGAAGCATATAGTCTCTTCAACAGATGGTGCTGGCAGAACTGGAAAGCTATATGCAAAAGACTAAAACAAGACCTTTACCTTACGCTATATATAAAAACCAACCTGGCATGGATTAAAAATCTAAATGTGAATCCCAGATTTTTTAAGGTCATTAATGAAGAAATAACGGAAAAATTTAAGGGCTTTAATACAAGGCACACACAGACTACCAAACATTGTGAAAATTGCACAAACAAAATAAGACAAAATAGATAATTGGGGCACACTAAAAATTAGAAAGTTATGTGCATCAGAAGATTTCACCAAAAGCGTAAAAAGGGAGCCAACAGAATAGGAAAATATCTTTTGCAATGACATATCAGACAAGGTACTAAGTTCTAAAATCTATTGGAAACGACAATACCTCTACAAGAAAAGGACAAATAACCCAATTAAAAAATGGGCGCAGGACATGAACAGACATTTCACCAAGGAAGATATTCGAGCAGCCAACAAACACATGAATTGCTCATGATCATTAGCCAGTGGTGGTGGTGGTGGTAGTTATGTGCCGTGGAATCGGTCCAAACTCATAGCGACCCGTATAGGTTTTCTGAGGCTGTAAATCTTTACAGGAGCAGAAAGCCTCATCTTTCTCCTGCAGAACAACTGGTAGTTTCAAACTACTGACCTTCGTAACTGCGGTTACAAGCAGCCCAACTCATAACCACTATGTTACCAGAGCTACTTCATTAGCCATTAGAAAGATGCAAATCAAAACAACAATGAGATATCATCTCACACCAGCATTAACAGTGGAAGTTCAAAAATGCTGGTGAGGATGTGGAGAGACTGGTACCCTCCTACATTGCTGGTGGGAATACATAATGGTCCAACCATTCTGGAAAATAGTATGGTGCTTTCTCAGAAAGTTGAAAATAGAAATACCATTGTTGTTAAGTGCTGTCGAGTCGATTCCAATCCATAGCAACCCTGCATAGAGTTTCCAAGGAGCAGCTGGTGAGCTTGAACCACCAACCTTGCAGTTCAAACAGCTGTGCAGTCTGATGCATTAGCCCACAGAGCCACACCAGGACTCCCCAGAAATGTCTCTACTTGGTATATATCCATAAGAAATACAAGCCAGGACATGAGTAGATATATACACACTAATGTTCATAGCAGCACTATTCACAATAGCAAAAAAGATGGAGACAGCCTAAGTGCCATCAATGGAAGACTGGATAAAAAAACTCTGGTACATAGACACAATGGAATATTATGCTACCTTGAAGAACAACAAGGGAGCTGTAAGCCACCACATAACATGGATAAACCTTGAAGACGTTATGCTGAGTGAAATTCATCAGTCACAAAAGGACAAATACTGCATAAGACCATTAATGTTAAAACTTAAGAAAAAATACCTATACTTAAAAGGAAAAAAAAAAAAAGATTCTTTGTTGTTGGGGGGTGGAGGAGGAGGCTGGGAGGGAGGGGACGATAGAGCACAGGGTAGGGAATAGACACATCATAGTTCAGGTGTTGGTGAGGGCAATACACAAGAAGGGGGGCGGTGATGGAAGAACAAGGCAGATAGGGGAACATGAAGGCTGGTTTGCATGGGCTAAATGGGACAGAGGTGAATAGTGATGTATGCTCAACCTTGGAGCAACAGGGCTCTGTGATACAGGGATCAAGACATAGACGGAATGGGTAAAAGAGGGAAAATAATGTTAAGATACTTGACTGTCTTATGAATATTGGTTTCTTTTGCCAGGGAGAAGAGAAGTGTCACTTACAAATGCAAGCAAATCAAATTAAGCTCTGACTATTCAGCACAAACCATGCAGGCAAGAAGGCAATGGGGAGACATATACAGAACTCTAACAGAAAAAAAAAACTGCCAACCAAGAATCATCTATCCAGCAAAACTATCAATCAAATATGATGGTGCAAGCAAAATATTCCAGGATAAACAGAATCTAAGAGATTTTATCAAAACCAATCCAGCACTTCAAAACATCATAAAGGGAGTTCTTTGGACTGAAAACCAACAAGAACAGACAACAACCAGAGATTGACAGGCATGGCAACACCACCTGGAACTCAATTGACAGATAGCAGAGTTCAGAACAGAAAAAACTACAACAATGAATTCAAAGGAGCTGGGAGGTCAACTGAAGATCAAAATAATAACAATGTCAAAGAAGGGATAAATATAGGAACAGAGAACCAGGTGGTGAGGATGTCAGGTAGATTACAGGATATAATAGATTCTCTTAAATGGAGAGAAAAGTTCATAGACTATAAAGTAACCCCAAAGAAAGTTAATACTTCACAACTTACCATGAAAATGAACTTCCAAGCAGAACAAGCAAACATGAAAACTAAGAAGAAACTGACAAGAAATAGCACAAAAAACACAAACTCA